ATTAAACATTTCGAGAGAGTGTATGTGTTTAAGATAGGTGGTCCAGGTTTCTGCACCATATAAGAGGGTTAGAATGATCACAGCATTATACACAGCATCTTTGGTCTTGGTGATAGGCGTAGTCTTAAAAGTCACTTCTTAAGTTTTCCAAAGGCAGCACTTGCTCGGGCAATCCGATGTTAGATTTCATAATCAATTAAGGGGCCGTCCATAAATGACGTCACGCACCAGGGGGAGGGGGTCAGACATTTGTAACGATGTGTGACGGGGGGGGGGGTGAGAAATGTGACGTCACATAAAAATGCGCAACTTTAAATAAATCTAGAATTGTTAACAAAACTTATTGTTATAACAACACTCCTACATCAGAGCGCAGCGCCACATTAAATACGCACTACAATGACAATAGTTTAAAGCGATTTGAAGCATGTTTTATTTTCAAAATGGAAATGTGGTTTGGGGGGGCAGAGCTTTGTGACGTCATATTTGAGGGGGGGGGTCTGACTTTTTGTGACGAGGGGGAGGGGTCAAAAATCGTCCAAAATCGCGTCACGTCATTTATGGACGGCCCCTAAGACATTGCTAGAGAGATGGCTGCTGAAGTATGAGAAACTGGGAACGTTTTCTAGTATTGCATTGTTAGTAGTGATTGTCGGGGGTGGTAGGTGTCCTCCTGGAGCTTGTTGGAAAAGACCTTTGTGTTGCTGGTATTCAATGTTAGACTCATCCTGTTGTAAGCATTTGTAAATATGTTGAAGATGACTTGAAGGTCAACTTCTGAGCAGGCACTGACTTGGGCATCATCAGCATATTGGAATTTAATAACGGATGTGATTGATGTTTTCGACTTGGCTCTGAAACGGTTGATTTTGAATATGCTCCCGTCTGTCCTATACGTGATATCTATGCCTCTGGGAAGTCTGTTCTCTGTCACGTGAAGCATTCCCGCCAGGAAGATAGAGAAAATAGTTGGTGCAATAACGCATGAGGGAGTGAAGGTGTTCTAGTCGTCGCTGTCCTCCATGTTTGTAATACTCAGCAGGAATCTGGTCTAGCCCACTAGCTTTGTTCTCTTTCATCTGCTTTACAGCTTTAGCCACTTCAAGCATTGTTGGCTATCCAGCTAAATCCTCAGTAGTAGAGTGTTGCAGAATTTAACTGAATATAGAAGCGTCTACAACAGCGTTGCAGTTGAAAAGAATGCTGAAGTGTTCCTGCGAGCGGGAGAAGATTGCATTTTGTCTTTGAAGATTTCTGTCCCATTCTTAGACTGAAGTGGTGCAAGGCCCTGTTTTGATGGTCCATATAAGACTTTGGTTGTTTAAAAAAAATAATGTTGGTTATTGGAATCTGCAAGATGTTGTATTTCTTCTACTTTCTTTCTGAACCAGCTCTTCAGTTCCCAAATTTTAGTTTGTACTTCCGATTTGGCATCCTTATATGATTATTTTTTCTGTCTAGACTGTTTGTGTTGTTGCCAGGCAATAAATACTTTCTGCTTCTTGTCAGTGAGGCCTGTGATTTCCTGGTCATTGTCATCAAACCAGTCAGTTTTTCCTTGTGTAGCCAATGGTGTTTTCACAGCAGGTTATAACTGCCATCTACAGTTGTGTCCAGTACTCATGAACATTTCCTGAAGCCTGGTTCGTGCTGAGTCTTTGAGCTAGTTGTTCTTTCAGTCGGGCCTGTACTGCTGGGTCTTTTAGTCTGGTTACATTGAATCTTTTCCTCTATAGTTTTGGTCGGTTGATGTGTTTATGGTTTAGTTTGAGAGTCATCACTGATCGAATTAGTCTGTGGTTAGTCCAGCAATTTTCTGCATTGATCATAGCACGAGTGATGCAGACGTCTGTGCTGTCAAGCTTCCTAAAAATCATGTAGTCCAGTAAGTTGCCATTGGTGTGATCGAGGTAGGCACCTTGAGGTCTTAAGGCTATTCTTCTGCCTGAATAGGGTGTTGCTGATTGTCAGGTGCTCAGAACAGGTTGTAAGAAGGTGACCATTGGAGTTGGACTTTCCAACTCCCTCTTGACCAATTACACCGTTCCACATTTGATGGTCTCTCCCACCTCTAGCATTGAAGTCGCCGAGGAGAATCAGCTTGTCCGTTTTTAGTGTACTTTAAAGGATTTGGTTGAGTTGGCTGTCGTAGGTCTCCTTAGTGTCTTCTTCAGAGTCTAGTGTTGGTGAATAGGTACCGATGATGGTTGCATGTTGGTCTTTTGCGAGTTTCAGGCGTAGGGTCATAAAACGCTCATTGATACTAATTGGAAGCTCACTTAAGCTGCCAATGATCACGTTGTCTATTGCAAACCCTACATCATGCAGGCGTCGTTCATGTGCTGGTTTACCCTTCCAAAATAAGGTGTAGACTCCACTTAGCTCGGTCAGTTGGCCTTCATCTGCCAGACGGGTTTCGCTGAGGGTGGCAATATGGATATTAAATCGTCGCAGCTCGCATGCCACAAGAGCTGTTCGGCGCTCTGGACGTTACGAGTTTGGGTTGTCTGTGAGGGTCCTGACATTCCAGGATCCAATGTTTAGGTTACATTTTCTTTTTGTTTCGACCGCAATTATTGATGTTCCCTCTGGTCGCGGTAAGACAGACAGGATGTTGCTAGGCAGGCTGTGTTTAGGGCACCTTTTCTAGCCCCCTCCCCATTTGGGGTGAGCAGAGTGAATCCTGGTGGGCTGCTCAGTGACAGCTACAGCTGCCGGGATGCACTCCTGCCTAATCCGAGTGCGTGACGACTTTCTAATAGCTGCCGCCTTGATGCTGGGTTGTGACTAGGAGCTTCTAGCTGCATAGGCCTGCCCCGCTCGCCACTTGCCAATCGCCCAAGGGCTTTGGGTATGTAGTGAAGTGGTGCGATGGCACAGTTTCCCTGGAGGGTGCCAGTGGGTGAATTAATTTACGTGCAGTGTCTGTTGCACACCAGCTACCGCACGGGGCTTAATCAGGAACCAAGCCTGGGTCCAATGGCAAGAAAGAAAACCAAGACGATCGGAAGCACCAGACATCCAGTGACTCCTCCACCATATGCCGTTGGCCATCTGGACCGTAGCTCATCCGACCCACCGAGGTGGGCCGTTGGCCACTTGGTATCCACCCGGGATTTTATCAGGGTTTACTCCCTTAGCCTAAATGGCGAACCAGAGCCCCGTGAGCCAGCGCGTTTCCAGGTGAGTCCAGACAGGCCTTCTTGGTTACCGAAGCGGCCCAAGTGGTCGAACCACCCACTATACTTCGCCCTGTCTGGCAATCCTGTACTTTACCTGTTACCACCTCCTACGACGTGGACGAGGGGTTGTTTTTTGGGAGGCATTTAGCCTAAGCATTGCAACACGAAATAAACGCGAGGCTAACACACTGTATAACTGGCTATGCAATTACCAATTCGTAACATTTTCTCTACCCTTTTAAATCCTGTGCTACAGCACTGTATTAAACGAGGTGGTGTCGACTAGGCTTAGATGAAAAAGTAGTAACTCCGCGATTGAATGAGGTGAATTAGGTGAAGCACTCTATTGTGTAGCCATGGGATATCTGGGTACAGGCCCACCAGGCAGTTCCAGGCAAGTACCGGGCTGACCACGAGACACAAAGGCCTCACAGCGATTACCAGTCTGCAGGTGCACTCTCCCTGAAAGGTTTCACCCACAGCCAGGGCCGCCCATAACGGTGCGGGGCCCGGGGCAAACTACCCACTGTGCGAGCCCCTCCACCCCCATGCCTTCAAACGAAGCCGGAAATTTACATCCGACGTGACATTGAAGCGCGCCGTCCCCCCCCCCCCAAAGTGGGGGGCCCAGGGCGATCACCCCGATTCGCCGTGCCCTAGGGACGAGCTCTGCCCACAGCTCCATTGTTGTCAGTTTCTTCAGGCAGCTCTCTTGGCAGTAATCTTGAAACGCACAGACCTCCTCCCGCACAAGACTCCTCCTAATGTCTTTGTCATTCAAAATGGGCATTAGTCAGCCACCTATAGATTAAGCTGTCAGCAGTATCGGCTCTGCCGAGCAGAGTAGTGCCTTCCACTCATGCCTTTGGCCCATCACGAGCGCTTACTGCATTGGTGGGGTTGAGGGTGATTTGACCCGATTTGCTGCAGGGGATTTGAAGAACAAGAGCCCCGCCAAATTTAGGGAAAGGAGAGAAACATTAGAGAGGCCCATTAGGAGGCATTGATTGGGATTGCTGGAGTGTTGGAAAGAGTTGGAGAGATCGAGAATTCTCCAGAAGGTTGGGGAAAAGCGATACGAGAGTGGGATGAGATCATCTCAGGGCATTCGTGTACAGCTTCCGTCCGGTGTATTCGAGAGTTCAAGGTAGAGTAAAAGTAGCCCTTACCAAGCGACCGCTGGACTCGTGATTCCTTTTCACATGTACCCACATACATTTGTGTGTACCTACACGTACATAATACACACGTTTGTTGTACATTTCCCGCACCTCCAATTAGCATGGTTGGCGACGATACGGCGCGAAACAAGTTCAACGTACGTGCCTGTGAAAGGGAGTCCACACGAGGCGATCTTCAGGTAAGGGCTTTATTAATAATCTCTTACACTCCAACACACACAATAAGCCATCTCTTCAAGAGCCCATAGAAAAAGGTTCCTCCAACCTCCTTCCCCTTTCCATCAACCAATCCTGGCGAGCTTGTGTCCCCGCCACCTTTGATATTTTTGTGTTTTAGTTGTGATTGTGCCTACGTGCCCGTACACCCAGGCGCAACGACCAAACCCAAAGTGGGAGGGGGGCGGATTCTCTCCCTCCTCCCAACTCAATTTTACTTAAATAGCGACTACGGATTATTTTTAACCCGAATACCATAATATGTTAGGCTATAACTATGTTGATTACTTTCGTTGCACCGTGTACTGGTTTTAGAGGAAGACAGTCTGACACTGTATTAATAAAAAATATGTATAGGTACAATACTATTCGCAATTAAGTTATCGTGCGTCTTGCTTTCATGCCGGGCCTCCGTGGGCCTAGGATTTCCTCAAAGGGGGTGGATCGCGCAACGTGATGCTGCTCTATTGATATGCCGACAGGCAGACACGTTAATCATCGGGCTTGGTCCATAGTAGATCGCAGGTTATTTTTAATTAATAAATTAAAAACAACCACAATGAACTGTTTTACTTGTTTATCTGTTGATTCGGGTCCCCCTTGCGGCCGACTGGGCCCTTAAAGAATAACGCTGCCACCACCTCCATCGTAACATAACCCCGTGTTCCTACGAGACCCTTCCACACACACACACACGTAGTACCCACAACGGGCACGGATGTATCTCATACGCATGCACCCACACGTGCATAAATTAATTCATCTTCTTACACATATACCTCCACAGTGCACAAATTCATCTTTTAGACGTGTAGGATCGCTGAAAGGAGTATTATATAAATATAAACGCCCAACTTTATCTGTGATTAATATGAACGCTGCACTTCCCGTCGTTTTCATGCAGGGGGTGCTGCAAACTGACGCGCCCCCTGCATGAAGGATGGAGGCGCAGGGACAGACGTTCTATTCCGTTGGAATCAATCTGCAGACGGCGGTCTTCTCGCACGGCCAGCTCTATGTCGCCTTATCTCGATCCAGCAAATCCCAACCAGGTGAAAGTCCGCATTGAACTGAACCCCCAGCAAGGCCATCTACTTAACGACGAGAGAAAATTCACACGAAATGTCCTTGTCAATGAAGTCTTCCAGATGTAAAATGATAAACGCTTTTAATGAAGAAATACAATTATCTAATTCAAAACAATACAATTTAAAGATGTTTCATTTTAAAACTTCAAAACGGAGCATCATGAATGCGTCGTTCGTGTGCAATTTTTTTTGCGACTTTCCTGGCCGAAGGCCATAAATGGTTGTGAGGGGGCACCACAGGCGCCCCCGAATAACCCTAGTATAATATTTCTTCGCGGCCAAACAGCAGCTTGACCGGCTGCGTCATTTGAAATCCAAAGCGGATATACAGGGACTCCTCTACTTACGAACGAGGTAGGTTCAAGAGGCCTGTTATAAGTTGTTCTTAAGCCTAACTTTACTCCTGTAGATTCCAAACATGTTGTACGGCATGTACACTAAACACTGGGAATGGCTTTCAACTTTGTATAATCTCCTGCAGATGTAGATGCCACCACCGCCATCTGTTGCACGGCGGTTGAACTTACGACTCTCGGTCCAAACTGGCAACTGGACATACGGATAGGCTGGTTCGTATCTCTGAAAGTTCCTAAGTCGAATATTCCTAAGTAGAGGAATCCCTGTATTAACAGATGGATATTCATTGTCATATATAGAACTACATTAACCTTACTAATTGGCTGTGTCCGGTGGTGGCGAGTTTAACGACACATTTATATTCACGCGATCTAACGCCAAAAAAGCCCCTTATTACAGATATATAGAATCGGCCAATCACGCGCTGAAAAAAGCTGTCAGAGCTGGGCTCCGGCTCGCACACGCACCCGATTGGTTAAAGATCAAATGTAATTCAACGGTGATTGACGGGGAGGATTTTGAGTGAAAAGCCCGTTAAAAACTCAATACTGGAGGGGCGAGTGGTCGCTTCAGGATGGTTAGGGTAGCTGGAATTATCTCCCCCTGGACACTAAGCAGTCGACCTCCTGAACCTCCTTCCATTCCTCTCAAAGCCTCACATTCTTCTCCATTCCCCCCCTCCACTCCTTCCCCCATCCCTCCCCTGTAGCCCTTTCGTGACCCCATGTGTGCCCTCTGTTACGGTACCTCAATCCTCGGTCCTTGTACTGTCCCTTGAAAATCTAAATCTGATTCCCGCTTTTAAACTCCGTAAAGGCGCCTTCAGTCTAAGGCTCTCTATAAACATAAAAGAAGTTAAGAAAGTGGAGATGGTTAAAGGGTCGAGTTGGATCCAAAAACGGGATAACAGGGATGGGTTAAATGAGCGCTCGAGGTGTCCAAATTTAAGTTTCTTCTGTTTGGCGAGTACAAGAGTAAACGTACACATCGTGCTGGACTCCTCTTCATCTGGTAGCAGCAGTGGGATAGCTAGCTATCTCGCCTTAGCCGGGAAGACCACCGTCCAAAGAGATTCAGCAGGAGTGAGGCAGGAGGAAAGAGACGTGGTCCGAGAAGGTGCCCCAGGGGAGTCTGGGCCTGGAGGCCTCTTGTCAGCGAGACCTTCCAAAGTCGGAGCCGCCATCTGGGTGCCGCGGTGGTGAGATGTTAACCACCTCAACTGGTATACAGGAGGTCGTGGGTTAGATCCCGACCCTGACGCCTGCTGTATATTTGGAGTTTGCATGTTCTCCCCCCTGTGGTCAGGTGGATTTTTCTCTGGATCCTTCGGTTTTCCCCTCCACATATAGAATCAACATCACGTGATTATAGGCCACTTCGCCGAGCTATCATTTGTGGCCAGGTCACTTCTGAAAAAGAGCTACATATTGCTCAGTGGGACTTACCTGGTAGAATAAAAACAGTTTAGGAGCACCGAAAACTCAAGGGCATTCTCCACCAAATACCTCACCAGTGTCCAGAGGCTCACGCCGAAATCTACCTCGTTTGAAATAAAAGTCGACTGGCTGATAGAAGCAGTTGCTACTGCTGCACCAGCAGCTGGCGGCGACCACCGCGCAAGCCTGCAGCATTCGCCGCCTCTGTTTGAGCCTCAACGGTCGTCCCCTCCAGCGGTGCAGCAAGAGCAGAAGCGCGAGGCACCACAGCAACCACCGCCGATGCCACGTCTGTTAAGGGAGGCTCAACTGCTTCTTTAGCTGCCGCCTCCGGGTGGCACGGCCAGCTCGTGAAACAGATGCCGCAACATCTGCTGCAAATGCCGCTCCCGATGGAGGTTTTGCAGCCTGTCCAGCTGTATCTTCAACAACCACTACGCAGCAACCGCCGCATCAACAGAGGGCTACAGGGGGCACCGCAGCAGCAACCGCCGCCACATCTCTTACGGGTTCCAATTTCTTCACGTGGTCAGTAAAAGTGAATTTTGTGATAATCATTTGGAATGAGTGGGTGATCAAATAACCCACTCTTATTAGTCACGTCAATCGGTACTACTAAAGTTCTTAATCCTTAAGGGGTACAAATTTCCACTCTGGGCCATGGACCACATATTCTCTCACGCAGGGGTGGTGTGGTTAGAATGATGCATGACCTCCTTTGTCTCTCTCCAATTCTGATGTCCGCATTCTGCATCAAGTACTCAAATTAAATCCTGGGTCAACCTTGGGGAGGCCCCAAGCGAGCGCGAGTTGCCACTTACGTTGTGCGCGGCTGGGAATCGAACCCAGGGGCCCGAGCACAGAAACACTGCATACATCGAAGCGGGAAGGCAATTTGCGTAGGCTACAAAAATTTGACGTGAGAAAAGTAGAGTTCCGCGGACGACATCATCACTCCCGCTCCAATGTTTACAATTGCGTAGGCCGTTCGGTACTTGGCGCAGCGAGCAAACCGATTCGCAACCAGTTAGGACACGCGGACACATGAACGCAGGCTCTGGCATTCGTCTAACACTTTCAATGCAAATCAAAATCCCAAGACCACAGATTGGCAATTTACAGTTTATTGACCCCTACAAGAATATAAAATTCATCGCAATTAAACTAATGCACGTTTACAGATAATTATATTAATTACAGCAGGCACACAGAGCGAGCGTTGCTATCTAAACCCATTCAGGACAATGCAAACAATCGCTATTATAGCACAGAGCCGAGCACAGGATACACGCTGCCATCTCGTGCGTGTATTCACCAGGGACGGACGATTTTCAGACACCATGGCCGTCAGTGTCCCCCCTCCTGATGTCCAGTCCTGCACAACCGTTAAAGGCCGGCCAATGCCAGCAGTAGCTGTACCTGCACGTATTGCGATAACCAGTCTTGAGATCTGGGACTTGCTATCAATGCAATGTTCTTTCTCACTCTCTTGCTCCACCAATGACAGGTTTTATTACATTCCAAAATTAGTTTACAGCAGGTGCTGTTTTGAGACATATGGGCCAGGAATGATTGGAAAAAAAAGAGATACGGACCTGTATGATACTGTTCTCCAGTCCACTATAACTGCAAAGCACACGGCTTCCCTGCCCCCACCACTTCCTCCTATGACACGGTTGCTTGTCACATTACTTTCGCACGGGTGATCCTTAAACTGGTAAAAAAAAGTTGAAGTCACGACGAAGTAGGCCTGCAATGGAATTTTGCCGGATGTGTCTGGAACGTCCACATTTCCCAGTTTCAGTTGATCCAAAAACACAATTTCATACATGTTATTGTTTTGTTCTATGAAATGTGGTAAATCCGTAACTCACATTTGTTACTGAATATCCACCCCTTTTGATGTAGCACCAGCGCTTATGTCAAGCCTAAGATTTTTTGATAACTCCTCACATTCAATGGATATTGCCCAATACCAGCTACTGGCCTCAGTATGAGAATATAGGCAATTGCTCATTGGAGCAGTACCCAGTGGTACTGGGCGCTTCCCACGATCCTGACAAGGTATCGGGAACTGAGTGCGGTATCCACCAATGGCCATCATCATGTCTGTGTCTTTCCCCCAAATTCAGCTCAATCTAGCATCCTTTATTTCAACCAGGTGGGAAAAGCTCATCGCACAATTCAAGAGAGACCTCTCAACCTTCATGCAGTGTTGTGTATTGTCATTCCGCGAGTATTGTATTCATTTTTCTTATATTCATTCCCAATGCTTAAGTTTTACAACAGCATCGTCGTTCATGCAAATTGCACCCCACATCACAGAGGAACCACAGACTCCAGCTGGAAGGCAGCAGCCAGGTGGCGAGCCGGCACTACAGAGCTCTGCAGTCCTCTACATAGTAAGATGTGTTCGAGCCAATAAGTGCTTATTATACATGTGGCAGGCAACCAGAGCACCGGGAGAAAAACCTTAATTCTTTCCGCAATCCCAAATCGCATTGTTTGACAAATTCCGCTGAGCAATGTTCATGTTTACTTCGCACCTTTTGGGGGGGAAATCCCGAGTGCCAAGTGCAAGCCGTGGGAAAGAACGCAGTCGCGGGAACTTGTAAAACTACGCTGCACCGAACAAGACCGCGGGAAAACTACTTACTGTACTGCCTGACTAAGCACTAAAAAGCCCTGCAGGTGTAGGCGTTGCAAATAAAAAAAAGTATGCTGGCTGTGCTCGCACGATTCGTCAGCACAAGGTCGTCGGCACAAGAAGGTTTAATTAACACTGCGCCATACTTTAACCCAACGAGAGACATCTCCCACCCCCCGACGCCCCTCCACCAGCACAACAGCTCTTTCCACAAGCGAGACACGTGGACAATGTGTAGCGATAATTAATGCAGCATTACTAATATTAATGTGTACATAGTGTTGGACGTGCCGGTATGCCGCAACCAGCACTTTACACAGCGACAAAACACGTATACTGGAACTTGTCAGAACAGTCGCTATTCCTTATCCTATTTCTGCAGTGAACGTGGGCTGCGTGATGAATAGGCTTCACGCCGGGAACGTCCAACATTTCCATGTCGGCCACCGTGCATGCACTGTGTCATTAGTTATGTGCCGTAGTATCGCGTAACTAACCTAATGAAGTTGTGCACTCGCTCGTCTCTTTAGGTGTTTCTTATCGGCCTTCAACTGATACCGTGAGCGTTGGATAACAACGTGTTGACAGACTACCGACAATCACAGGAGCAAGTTGTATATGTAGGGGGGGAGGGGATAAACTTTAAACTAATGTTTTTTATTTTACAAGGTAAGGCCCACTGAGCTGTATAACTCTTTTTCAGAAGCGACCTGGCCATCAACAAAGTGGATTATCACCATCACGTGGACATTTATAGCAGCCAAATACTCTTAAATGCATGTTAATTCTAAATGTGGAGGGAAACACTGGAGGACCCGGAGACAAATTCACGCGACCACAGGGAGAACATGCAAACTCCAAATATACAAGTGTCAGGATCGGGATGGAACCCATGACCCTCCTGTATACCAGGTGAGGTAGTTAACATCTCACCACCGTGGCGCCCAATCGTATATTTGGAACCGACTGCTGGTTTCTTGAATTGCTAGTGATGAGCTGTCTCTCAAATAAGTGGCTGGATATCGTAATGGTTGAGCTTACTCATTGTTGAGCTTGTCTGTGCAGGCAATGCTGCAATTTATGCTACGACAGGGAAATCTGTGAGCAGAGGCAGATCTATAAACTTCCCTGGCGAGGGGGTGGGGGGGAGTCCCAAAATGTCAACATGTGCGAATAGGGATGCACATTAATAATAACAAAAGCAGTTTAACACGTAGGCTTTGACTACCAATATTATCGGTAAGATATTTTTTTGGGGTTAGATCGTGTAAGTATAAACGTGTCATTAAACCCGCCACCACCCAACACAGCCAATTAGTAAGGTTTGTCACTTAAATAAAACATGAGTAAACCCAACGGTAGTTGCACACCGATGTGCTGAACGAGTAACAAATTGGAAAGTTTTATTTACGTGACAAACCTTACTAAATTGCTGCGTTGGGTAATGGCGGGTTTAACGACATTTATATTTACGCAATCCAAACCAAAAAAAAACTATTATACATAATAATACATATATTCAATGTACTCTGAATATGAATAAGAAGCCAAATTTCGGGGCCTCAAGAGGGAAGGAAGGGGGGCGATCACCCATCTGCCTGCCACCCCTTAGATATGCAAGGCTACCATCAGTCATCACCAACCAAACTAGACTGTCTCCCACAAACCGTCGTTGTTAAAAGCCCCACCGTACGACATCGTCACCTCGCAAGGGCAGGGTATTAAAACACCAGCGACGAAGCAGCTCGCGAGTCGAAATAGATTTTCAATAAGTGTATTTGACACAAAAAATGTGATGACAACTTCCCCAGGTCTCTCTTGCAACAGCTGGAATAACAGGGCGCCACTCCGCGCCGAGCCCCCCAAAGTCTCGTTTGCTCCATTAGTCTTCACCGTAACACACACGTACCCGCGATCTTCACACTCTGCACGAATCGTAAAATATTCAGTTCTCGATGGTAACGATCCGACACACACGCGCCGTGATCGAACGAAGAAACTTTGCCCAGTGAATTGTTACCGCGCCGAATAAGGAATTTCGATCGGAGCACACGCACGGGACAGAAAGGGAGGGCATGAAATGCAGAATTCAGAACTTTGCACCTCGCGGCTGGGAGAGATCCCTCGCTCAGCCTGCAGCAAACATCGTGCTTGACACGGACACCGCGATACCTCGGGTTGCTGCTAATCCACCGTCTCAGTCCACAGAAGCGGTGCCGATTTCAAGGGGGCGATATCAACGCTGCGGCGCACTGGACGGCCGGTCCTCCCACCACGGGGAAATGTGTGTTGATGCAGCGGAGAAACCAACTCACGAGTTAAAATCCCCCTCGAGGGTCGATGAGTTTCAACAAAAGACCGGTTCTTCCCCCCTCACCACACAGAATGTGGAATTTGCTCAATCGGCTTAGGGCTGCCCATGCTCATTAAACCTATGGAGACATTGGTTTTTGACTTTGAATGCTCAATAAGCAACAATGTTCATGTTGCCTACATCGCGATTAATTCTCTCTTTGAGGACATGCCTATATTATTGCTTCTAAACCAACAACTTACTTTGGGGCAAATTATATTAGTGGCAGTGAGTGGGTATCGCGTCTCTAAATAGAATAACAACACACATCAAGACTAATTATGGGGGGGGGGGGGGTTGCTACTGCCACCCAGTACCACCAGACTGGACCGGTCCCCTTCCATTAACCTCGACCCCGAACCATCAGTAGCCACACCTTCTACACTCCAGGAGTGGGGTGGGGGGATTCAGGTCTAAGTAATTCATGCTTAAGCAGGCACAAACAAAAAAAGGATACAAATTTAAACTCCGGAAAAAACAAAGCGTGTACCTTATACGTGACATATATAATCAAAGTTTACAATCATAAGGAGTGACTTGGCGAGAGGCAGACAAGAGAAAAGGCAGGAGAAAAAAAACGAAGCCGAGGTACAAAAAAAATTACGCTCATCAATGCTGCGACTTTTGCCACGTTAAAACGTTCAGAAAAAATAAACACTCTCCTGCGAGCAGCGATGTCTTTCACATGGGCTGGGGGGGCAGACCAAAGGTGATGCCTCGCATTTAGTTTCATTTTTTTATTGCGCGTGGCTCAATCCTGTGGCCTTGCTGGATGGGGGGAGCTGAATTAGACAACCGGTAGCAGTGTCCAAATCGATATCAGAAATGGGGGATATTGTGAGCAATGATACAGATCAACTTCCTTGCAACTGAAGAGGGGATTTCTTTACAAATTTGTATCCCCTTCAGCTGGCGGCATTTTCCAATAACATCACAAGGATTCGCCATTGCAATATGCCGATGCGACGATAGATCGGGAGAAAAATGTGTCCTTGGCCACGCGACGAGAAATGAACATGGGAGGCGTCACTCTTGGTAGGTCCCCCTCCCTCCCCCCCCCCAGTTTTATTATTGTATCAGTAGCTCTTTAGAATGTTTTGTTAAGCTAAAGCTGCCCTTTCTTTTGAATGCACTTTAAAATAAGAAATATATTTAATTAACATTTCAAACCCCCCCCCCCACCCATTGAACAAAAATCATCGGAAAACAACAAAAAAACTTTGCATTTTTTTATCTTTATCACACCACTAACTCTGCGCCAATAAATAGTTACAATGACCAGAAATGTTAGAAGGGTTGTGAGACCGTTTTTCATTCAACATTATGAACAAAGAGCGGGAAAACATTGACAATGAATGTGTGCTTCGGACGAGCGAGAGGGTTAATGTACAATTGCGGGAGGAGTTGTTTCCGTGGTCACGTTTTTGAGGAGAGCAAATTTCTTCGCCCCCACCCTCCCTTTGCTTCTGCGAAGCGGCGTCAAAGCAACGGGCCCCATCACCGAGGGGGAAAGCTGCAGCGCTGTTAGCCCCCTGCCACAACTTCGCCGCCAACACCGCCTTCAGGGCACCGCAGTAGCCAGTTGGTGAAGGTCAATTAAACACTTTTTTTTTACTCTCCTTACCAATTCTATCTCAGTCGTGCTATTAATAGAATCGCTTTGCAAACTTAATAAAAGTCACAATTGTCAAGGCCGCCCCCACCCACTCTTGCCCCCCCACCCCCCCGAACATGACGATGCAAAAATGGTTAACCGAGTTACTTCGAACGCCGCACAGGGCACCCTCCCCTTCATGTCCTGCGGCGAACAATTCGCTGCTCGTCAAAAGCCAAATGCAGTCGTACCGCTGTCCTGCAGATCGAAAGCAGGTCGGGGGGAAAAAACTGTATTTGCATTTATTGCGAATGGGCCCAAACCAAACCTTGGCTACGGTTGAGGACACGGGTTAAATCGTACGGCAATGGCTGGATTTGAATCTAGAATCTTAGGATAATTTTTGTTTTATAATTTTAACCTGTACTTTCATTATTCAACCCTGAACTACCCATCGGGCAAAGGCTTTTCAGTTGGGAGAACTCGGACGTTATGCTATTTTACGGACTGTGCTGTTAATATTCGAACTATTAATATCCCATAGGCTGGGAAGACTGTGCGTAGGGCACCAACGTCACGAATGACAGTCACTGCACGGGTTAATATCCTGGCCAATAAATCATCATCATTGTCATTCCTCCAAAATCAGTCAAATAAATGAGCACCATTTAGTGAGAAGGCTGCACTACTTTGAGCTGGTAAGTCACAGTATTGGTTGAGTTGCTTATAAATTGGCCTCGGTCAAAGAAATGTGAAATTTCCATTCCTGGTTACGGATCTGAGAACAGACGAGCAATGATCGATGCTCATTTGAGCACTGTGGGACGTTGGTGTTTAGTCTAATTGGCAGCCATCACATGAGCTCGTCACGGCAAAGCTCATCTCTCACGAGCAGTCCCGAGCAAGTGCTGGAAATTCCACATTCCCATGATTCAGGGCAATCTTATCCAAAGGACCATGTTTGCTTCCCATAAAGTGGACAACACTCGATTTTGTCAGGGGGCTGGATGACGACCACAACGACGACGACGGGATTAGTCGAGCGCTGACAGCTCGATGTTAACTTGTGATGCTGTGATGGCGAGCCGCGTGCTCTGCTGGCGTTGCACGGCGGGGGAGGTCGTGCCATGGGTGAGGGGAGCCGCACCATTGGCATCTCGAGTCCATGTTCTAGTGCCCGGCGGTGGCAGCGGTGGCAGCGGTGGCGGCATTAGCGGCACCCGCAAGCAGTAGCGACGCGCATCTTGGGTTTGCGGGCCCAGGGATATTGAGGGCCCAGGAATAGAGGGCAGCGCCACGGCCAACGATCATCCCAACGGCGGAAAATCCACGTTAAGAGCATGCGGCATTCAAATCAACGGAGGTTGATGCACGGAGCGATTGGTGGCTGATTGACAAACCTCGTGGCCACAAAAATGTACAACGTATTGAACACTGCATGTGTATTGTATGTCCACATGAATCATCAAAATTTCAGGGACTGCATTAGCAGCGGTGTAGCAAATGAAACACAAACTTCTTTGGCACCATTGTAATTAATAACACTGCCTTATAACTAAAATATACAAAATTAATACATGCTGAAGGGTACCTTGCCCAACACGTTGGCTCTTTCGGTTATAAGACAGTTTGTTAATGACAACGGCACAAACGTATACAATATATATACACACAAACATACAGAATATATCTGCACAAGTACCATTATGCAATGTACATGTGCAATATATATAGATATATGTAGTGTGTGTATATATATATACTGTGGTGAGCAGGAGCAGCACGTGCGTGGTGGGACAATGCACTAGGCTACCACACTGTCCGTGTTCGTTTACACACACGCGCACACATGTGCGCGTGCATTTAATATCTCAAGATGCATGCACAGGCTCATGCCTTTCTTAGCCATAGCAATCCAGTCCCTCCAGATGCAACATCGGGACGAGTTCATTTGATTATTCACGTTGGTCTAACCAACTTCGGGGGGGGGGGGGGGGTTGAGGCGGAATCAAAGTTTTGTTTACATTCTCCTTTGGACACGAACGCCGACACGCACTGCGACCGTTACCACCCCTCGCTGCGTGCGTTCATGTTACGGGTGTATGCGCGCATGTGTACTTCCCGCACGTTAACAAGCGCCGCGTGCGTATCACACGTTACACGGACCACATGCATACATGTGATACGTGCGTACACATATTGCATATGTACATGTCGCATGTGCTAACACGCGTCACGTGTGTACACGTATCACGCTGTCAGCCGACTCAAGCCAACAACCGAGAAAACCTGTCGAGATTCACCCCTTTCTCTTTTCACCAAGACATTGGTGAAATAAAACTAACTTTTTTGCTTTATAAATGGTGAATAATTTGGTGATATCGTTTAATATTTCGTAACGTTTCCTTTCTCAAGTTAGGGATCGATTCGGGCCGTCACGATTGCAGGCACGCAAGAGGTCCACTCTCGTCAATTGTTGTCACAGCCTTGTTCATGTTAACGTGAGCACGGTGTGCCCCCTTCTGGTGGCGATAGCCGCGCCGGAGGAACTCGCACGGCTACGGTCGGGAATGTAACCGTGCTGAACCGGTTCAGTGGCCAGTGCAGGCGGCGACTGTCGAGCGCTCGCTCCCTTAATGGTCTCGCATAGCACACAACTGAAGAGATTTGTACGATTTTCTGGGTCTCCAGTTCACATTTTTGGATAAGTGCTGCTTTAGTCCATTAAACATTTTGGGCAAAATGTAATGGACTAAATTAAACGTTGTATCTGCCTGTACGGAAATTGAGTCATAGTTTAACGATACTTAACTGGCCTGACCAGTTACCAGAATCGATAGCGCCACGGAACCGATGAGACCGCGTAGTTGAGTCGCCCAGGTATGGGCGAGTGGCACGGGGAGCTGCGTGCTAGGGCCTGCATCGCCCATGGTGCGGTGTGGCGTGGGTTCGGCGCACTAAAGCACCATGGGGTGGCGCTGTGCTCAAGTGCGCGCTGCAGCAAGGCACAGTGTACTGTGGTGGAGGCAAAAGGAGCTAATCAATGTGGAGGAGGGGGGGTGCTACGCAAACTGCGGAACAGACGTCACACGCCATTGCTGCCGCAGGGCAAGTACTACAAGAAGCTGTGGTGCAAAGTAGACGACGTACGCTGCACTCGTGAGGAAACTCCGTGCTGTGTAATCAAAGCTGCGCTAGTCGGGAGAGGAGTACGGAAGAGGAGTACGGAAGAGTACAGGGGACTGCGACGCAGCCATACGGTTGCAGAGAAACCTCTGCTAGCAGGGTGTCGCGTGCTATGGTGTACACACATTGCGAGATGTGCCGCAGGGCGAGCGCCGTGCCGTGGTACATGCACTGCACACTATGCATGGCAGGCAGCGAGTGATGCGATGTACTATGGTATTTGTACTGCAAACTGCACCGTGGTACACGTACCGCACACTGTTGTGGGAGGGTTGGGGGGGGGAGTGCCAAGCAGCAAGGGGCAGCCCCGTGCGCGGTGCCCCTACTTTTACCCACCAGCATCGCCGCGTCAGCGCACACACGCATCCACAAACGAACACACCCGCGAGCACTCACGCACGCGCGTGCACGTGTCTGCCCCTCCCTGCGTCTCGCCCGCCCGCTCGCCCACCTGCCCGTCCGCCCGCCTGCCTGTGCGCACTCGTCACTGCGCCGGCTTCTTGAGCTCACGGATCTGCTTGATGAGGTAGTTCTTCTCTTCGGTGAACTGCTCGTCGTCCGTGCGGTCCTGCTGGAACTTGGAGAGGAACTCCACCAGCTTGCTCTGGTTCTTGAGCAGGATGTCAAGGATGGGCTGCGGCTTGTTCGGATTCGCCACAAACACCTGCCAAGACAAGCAGACGCACGCGAGCGAGCGACCGCCCCGCCAGGAGATCGCCGTCCGTTATTGAATACGAAGAGGGGTGGTTGTGCTGGGACTATGCTTCCAGTGGCAGCGGCAGGATTAATCGCTTTAACATCCAGACGTTAAGCTGCAGATAATTTTATTTAACCGAGTTGAGGGTTCAAGCAGAGAACAAGTTCAACATACATATGTCTCATGTTCAAGAGTGACCCTGAGTCACTTAAACGAAAAAAGAAACAATAAGAAATTAGACTTAAAAAAACAACCAAACAGGAGCAGTTGTTGTTGTACTGCACGTCTATGCCCCCCCCCCCCCCCACCATCAACAACCCACAGTGACCAGCGTGGCATAGTCACATAGCCCACACGGCCCCTCGGCGAGTTGAGGCGCTGACAAAAGAGCTGGCCATGTGTTGTGCACACACGTGTACAATTAAAAAGAGCTGGGAAATGTTATATTTAAATGTTTTATATATAATTATGTACTAACCCTCGCGGAAAGATCTCAGGACTCATCTGTCCACACAGATGGGTTCCCGACCACGTTACTGCCCCAGTGGATTTGAGTCGGCAGCTCATTGCCATCAAAGCACCGGACCACAGGTGTGTGCCACCACCACCACACCAGGCTATTACTTCAGTGAGGCAAGTGTGACAGCACAACCCCATAGGGGTCCAGCAAGGGTTGCCAACCTGTCCAGGAATTGGCATCTGCATTTGAGTGGCAGGCATTGATGCGTCTGTTACAGGACAGTTTTGATAAATCTAGGCTGACTGTGGAAAAGTTGGAAACCCGACCACACACTCACTAGCCCAGTCACTCCCCCACCCACTCAATCATTCACTCTCATTCATTTGGCAAGTCACCCAGTTACTCATCCACTCACTCACAGACCATTTACTCACCCGGATTTCCACCTGCCCAGGAATTGGCATATTTGTTGGGGGGCGGCAGGAATTGATTTGCACGGAGATCTGGTACCGCTATTGTTTTTGCAGTATAATGCACAGATTTGACAGACAAATGCTGAATTGGGTAATGTGTCTGGCTTTGTTCCGTCTGTGGAGAATGTGGCAACCCCCGCGCGATGCAGGTCTTGGTGGCTCCGAAGGGGTCACAGCACTGTTAATGGGCGACGGAGCTCTCGATACCACACGCTGCAAACGAGGCGCAGGCTCGGCGAGGGAGAGCACGGGGACAGAGCCACGGGAGCACAGAGCCAGACTGAGTAAACCACGTGGGTGAGGCGAGATAGATTGCGTGCCCCCCCCAGGGCGGACATGCATGTGTGCATGTTTCTGTGTGTGCGTGCGTGTGGGTGTGCGTCGCGTTACCTTGAAGACATGGAAGGCCTCGAACTGGATGTTGCGGCTCTTGTCGCGCAGCAGGTTCATCATGAGCTTGAGGTTCTCGGGCTTGCTGATGTAGCGTGTCATGATGGTGAAGTTGTGCCTGTCCAACAGCAGCTCTCCCAGGAGCTGGTGGAGAGAAACGGGGACACGCGCACACACACGTGTACTTCAGCAAGATTACACATGCACTAGTACACAGGTACTCGCACACATAGCTACAAAGACAAATACCCCCCCAGTATAGCCTTAACAGACTGTTAGGGCAAGTGCTGTTCGCAAGCACCTATGAAGGCCGGCACGGTACATGATGGGGTGGGTGGCCAGCACCACGTCTATCTTCGTCTCCCAAGTGGCGATGATTTTACACACTATACCAGGTACTTATTTGAGGCCGAGTCGACCTAGTGGAGGCCTAGAACTGGTTTAGATAATCATCATGTTGGTGGCCGTGAGCGGGAATCGAACTCGAGTCGCCGGATTTGTAGTGCATGGTGCTAACAGCTACACGACCGCTCCCCATACAATGCTACACACACACACGCACATGCTTTAGCAAGCACAAGTACTCAGTGGTGGAATTGTGCCGGTATGCGCCGATACACTATACCGGCATTTCTTAACAACAAACATGTCAAGTGGCATATTTTAAAACAGTGCCTATTCCTATGTTACGGTGTCCGCAGAGAGGAAACGGCCGTGAACATGTGCTCAAGGATGAATAGCTTGCTGGGGAGTCATTCATCGGGAAGTGGATTTACACAGAGCTTTGCAAGCATTAGCGAGATGTTATCTCCCTCGCCTGGTATGGAGGAGGTTGTGGGTTCAATTCCGACTCTGTATATTTGGAGTTTGCATGTTCTCCCTATGGTTGCGTGGAATTTTCTCCGGGTCCTCCGGTTTTTCCCCTCCACATTTAGAATCAACGTGCGTTTCGAGTATTTGGCTGCTGTAAATTTCCATATAAGTCACTTTGATGAGCTGAAAAAGAGCTGCATAGCTCAGTGGGCCGAACCTGGTAAAATAAAAAATAGTTTATAGTTTAGTTCTTATATTTAGCACGGCATGAATGGCATCGTCAAAGTGATCACCAGAAGTGACCGGGAACTGATGCAGATTCAGCAGCAGCAGGGCGCTTCTCAACGCAGCTCACCACGGACTGTATTGTAGGATCCATCTCTGGACTCAAAACCACCAGTTTACACAACCTACGCTCGAGTCTCGAATGCCCATCTAACCACGCTATGGCAGAACTAGACACGATTCGCTATCCCGGTCCGGACCACAAGCTGGGTCCCGGGCCGCGTGGCTAGAGGCTTCTTCTCCCCGACGTGAACCCCGAGCTCCTCACGGAGCTCTCGTTAGATGCTCCCGGGCTGGGGCGGGCTCCGCCCTCAGCCCCGCCCACCTTCCAGGCTCCTCGAGCTCCTTCTCGAATGTTCCCGAGAGCTCTTCGGAACCACGTGACTGCCCCTCGGCCCCCGTCCACCAGTGGCCCCCCTCCAGTATCGTCCGGTCACGTGACAACAGGTCAGCCAGAGCGTCATGCCCCAGGGTAACCCTGGCTGGCTGACGCTCGCTCTCGCTCCCTCACTGGATGCCGGCACCGCACGCTGCTCGCGGTGCCTCCGCGCTAACCAGCGCTCACCCAACCACCGCTAGTGTTGGTACTGCAGCCCGCAACCCGGGCTGCCCGCAATGACAACATTACCGGCCGTGACTTCGCAAGTCCCGGCACCACACAGTGACAAGTACAGTCACTACAATTACACCAGCCTCAATGTATACAACACTGTGGCCCACCAGAAGTTTCCCCTAGGGGTCCCCCCGACCCATGCAGTGTTGGGAAAAGAAGTAAATTAGAAATGAAAACCTTCAGAGATTGCCTCTTGGTCACGTAGTTTTCCGAGTTGAGCAGTTTCTCGTACTCTCCAAACACCTGCACACATATAAAAAGACAAAGATCCCCCCCCATACATGCTTAGCAGACTTTTCGGGCAAGTGCTGTTCACGAGCAGCTATGAAGGTCGAAACAGCACATGAGAGGGTGGGTGGCCAACGCCACACCAAGCCGCCTTTGTCTCCAAAGTGGCCATGTTTACCCACCGCACCAGGTACTCATGAGGTGAAGTCGCCCGTAGAATAGGCCCAGAATGGCTTTGAATAATGGTCACTGGTGTTGGCCATGACCAGGAATCTAACTTGACATGAGCGCTCCCTAAAGACAATACAAATAACCCCTGTATAGCCTTAAAAGACATTTGGGGCAAGTGCTGTTAGCGAGCACCTACATAGGCATGAATGGCACATGATGGGGTGGGCGGCCAGCCCCACGCCCAGCCACCTTTGCCTCCCTAGTGGAGATCTTTATACGCTGCATCAGGTACTCAATTTGAGGCCAAAGCTACCTCAGCGATGCCAGTTGAGATAATCATCATTGATGTTGGCTGTGAACGGGAATTTAACTCTGGTCACGCTAACTGCCACCACAAAGACAGACACGGACGCACATGCACAAGAGCGTGTTTATAAATCACCTCACACGAAGATAGCGGTCATTAACTGGAATTCATGCTGTGGCCATCTGGCAGAGGAGTCTTCGTGATGAGAGCTTACAGACTGGCGGGTCCCACAGCGCAGAGTCACACAGCAAGTGGCAGAAGAGTGCAAGCGAATGATACACGCGCAACGGTCGCGGTGGAATCAGGGAGTGCACACGCGATGGTCGCGGTGGAATCGGGGAGCGCGCACCTTGTCGTAGTTCTCTTCCAGAAACTCTGCGCAGATAATTTTGTGCCTGGTCAGCAAGTCCTGCAATTGATTAGACGAAAATCACAAAATCACAGAACACGTAATAATTAGTTTGCAGTGCATAATACTGGTCACCTGGTGATGACACAAACAGCGATGAGCAACTCACAGTCAACATCTAAAGCACCTCCGATTTCCACGGTTGGCTATGTACATACATACAATACAGACGAATGAATGAGTTTTCATGGTGTGTACCGGCGGGCCCTTTCTGTCACGTAACGTCACATCCTAGAGGGCCGATCCCCCAATAGATAGCCGTCCCTGTGCAGCGGAAGGTGGCTCAGCACCTGGCTTAGTGATGGTCATTAAGTCTGCCAGTCGGAGGGGCGATGATTGCTGTGTGGTTTATCCTAGGGCACTCCCAGTGGCAGCTGTCCTTATGTGGAAAAGGTGAATCAGCACCTGACTCAGCAATAGGGATTATTAATCGGTCTGCCAGCATGGGGAGAGGATTGCTTCGTAATGTGTGGGTAATACAAAAATAAAAAAATTGAAGCGAGATTGATATTGAGTGTGTTTTATAGTTTTGGGGGGTGAAAACGGGACAACCCAACGGAAACTCATGCAGAACAGGTGGAGAACATACAATACTCCACGCATGGAGAAAGGTGCCCCTCAGTTGGGAAACAAACCTGGGACCTTCTTCCTGCGAGGCACAGGTTATAGCACCTGTAATGCCCTGTTGCAGCTGGAGCCATGAACAGCTACCAGTCAACATGTGTAGCAATACAAAGTGGACACATAATGATAAAGATCACACTATTTATACCCCGTGATGCCTTACTGGTGAGACGTTTCCACGACCACTGGGAAAACGTGCCAGCCCCGGTTCACGAACCCGGCATGGTGGGCTCAGTTTGGGTCCCCACGGTAGTGATAGAAAGAGCCAAAAAGGCGCCGAGAGGCTCCCCGAGAGCCCCTCTAGACAGGATTGGTTCTCAACCGGGGGTACGCAGACCCCTAAGGGGTACGCAGCAATGTCCCGGGGTTGTATGCGAGGTGATTTATAAATGTGTGAAATTATATCGTACATGAGAGTCATTGGTGAATAATCATGTATGCATCTGGCAATATTAAATAACTACAATAAAAATTGTATCCGTATGGTTACCTAGAATGATATAAAAGATCTTTCAAAACTTTATTGATCGTAAACAAAGTGGTTTCCAAGAGTATCCAGCGAGCGCGAACAGATTACGTCATGCATGCAAAGCGTCCGTTGACTTTTTTTTTTATTCGCTTGCAGTTACTCGCTAGTTAGGAAATGTCCCAAAATGGACAACTGGTTAAAATATTGATGTTCATTATTTATCCATTTATTTCTCAGAACCATGTTGGGTCAGGCAAGAGGGGGTACTGCGATGAAACAAAATTTAACAAGGAGTACCCAACAGTAGCCAAAAAAGGTTGAGAACCACTGCTTGAGGGCATCTGGCCTACTCTCCAACTCTGGCCACGTCCTGCAAGAGGTAGGGAGTATCCACACTTTACCTCGCGACTCGTGAACGTGCTGAACGACTAACAGTGGCAAGCCCATTGATACTGCAAGGTGGGCAGTGTTAGGGGCGGTGGTTGAGGAGCATTTAAGAAGAAACTTGCTTCAACCGCCACGACGGGGAGACGGCACCGAACCGGTCGGTGACCTCTGGGGATCGCAAGTTCCGGCGCGTCACACCATGCCACCGTGGGGGGGTAGAGGGAGGGGGCGGCAGGGGACGTTACTCCGAACAGAAGGAATTAGTCTCCTCGCTCGCTAGCTCGCCTTGAAGGTGGCGAAGGCGTCGGAGGCGATGTCGAATGTGGAGACCTCGACGTAGCGGAAGAAGTCGTAGAGCTGCGGCGAGCACAGCACGATCTTGCCGAGTGGCTCGTGGCGGATGCACTCGCGCAGCATGATGCCGCAGTTGAGTGCGATCTCCGGCGTCTCGTAGCTTCGCTCGCCGAGAAACAAAACAAGCGCGCGGAAACGATCCGTGGTTAACATCTAGGTTAAATATGATTCGATTGCTCCCGCAAGGTGTCGCGACAGCTATTTTAAGGAAGCCTGGTCCGGGTGACGTGGTTATTTGGACTTCCTGGATCTTGGTCCCGGTGAAGTTTGACGCAGCTTCAAGCGGAAAGTCAAGTGTCTAATCGCTGGCTAAGCTTGGTTGTGAGAATCGTTCTTCAACTTAACGGTGAGCGAGCCGAAACGATAACAATATCCGCGTTACACGCTTGTACGTGACAATTTGTGTCGGGTGGTGGAGGAGGGTCTTAATGACACAAAGTTTGTCAGATCCTTGATCATGTGATTCACTGTGAAACTAAAATTATGAACCAGGTGAAACATCAATTTACCATACACACAAGCAATTAATTATGCACACGACTACTGATGATCATTAACAATTTACCCCGAACTTTTGAAACGTTTAAATAGGCAGCCCTTAAAAAAATCACGTAATTTCGACGATAAAATCGCTCCATCTGTTTTTTTTTCTGGTTGGCCCCTTTTCCTTCGACAATGATGATTAAGGTGATTGAGAGAGCGTCATCTTCCCGCTTGGGAGACAGTGGGGGGGGGGGGGGGGGGGGTAGCGCAATTCTTCCCTCACCCCTTGAGCAGCATGAAGAGCAGACTGGGATTGGCGCAGATGTACTCCACGGTGGGGGAGCGAGTGCCGATCTGCCGTCGGAGAATATTGTTGAAGATCTGTGCCACGTCCTTCTTGCCCTGGGAACGGGAGCACGAGGAGGAGAGATGTATGTACTGTTACTATTATATTATTTGGATTTTATTTTACCAGGTGTAAGGTCCACTGAGCTGTATAGCTCTTTTTCAGATGCGACCTATCACAAATTATAGCGCAACAAAGTGGCTTTTCCTGTGGAAATGTAAAGCAGGAAAATACTCTTAAAAGCATGTTAATCCTAAATGTGGAGGGAAAAACCAGAGGACCTGGAGAATAATCCACGGAGAATAATCCACACGACCACGGGGAGAACATGCAAACTCCAAATATACAGCCATGAGTGTCAGGATAAAACCCACAACCTCCTGTATACCAGGCGAGGTAGTTAACATCTCGCTACCGTAGCGCTCTATGTATGTGCATATGATGCACTTCTTTGGCACAGGAACATAGCCAACCGTGCTAATAGGAGGTGCGGGGAAATGACTACAAACTAAACACAACAAGCACAGACGAGCATCGCGATGCTCTCCCCTGCAGGGCCGTGGGGTGACCTATAGATGGCAGTGTTACCTCCTCGTAACACACTGGGTTTTCTCCGGGCACATCAGTTCACTCTTCCCACACACAGAGCTGAATTTCTTTGCATCCTTCTGGACAAGGAGCAAGGTCACCGCGGTGAAAGCGTGGCAGTGGCAGAGGAAGGCGTCGAGCGGAATTTGAAACTCTGGGAACGAGGAGACCAACTCTGGGACCGTGCCACGACAACTCCCCCCTTCGAGTGACGTCGCTGCATTCGTGTACGGTGGTGGGTGATGCAGTGGTGAAGCGGTGGTGAGTGATGTGGTGAAGCGGTGGTGGGTGATGCAGTGGTGAAGCGGTGGTGGATGATGCCTTTGTGGTGATGTCGTGGTGTAGCGGTGGTGGTGATGTTGTGGTGTAGCGGTGGTGGGTGATGCCGTGGTGTAGTGGTGGGTGACGTCGTAGTGTAATGGTGGTGGTGATGTCGTGGTGTAGTGGTGGTGGTGATGTCGTGGTGTAGTGGTGGTGGTGATGTTGTGGTGTAGTGGTGGTGGTGATGTCGTGGTGTAGCGGTGGTGGTGATGTTGTGGTGTAGTGGTGGTGGTGATGTGTGGTGTAGCGGTGGTGGTGATGTCGTGGTGTAGCGGTGGTGGTGATGTCGTGGTGTAGCGGTGGTGGTGATGTCGTTGTGGTGATGTCGTGGTGTAGTGGTGGTGGTGATGTCGTGGTGTAGCGGTGGTGGTGATGTTGTGGTGTAGTGGTGGTGGTGATGTTGTGGTGTAGTGGTGGTGGTGATGTCGTGGTGGTGATGTCGTGGTGTAGTGGTGGTGGTGATGTCGTGGTGGTGATGTCGTGGTGTAGTGGTGGTGGTGATGTCGTGGTGTAGCGGTGGTGGTGATGCGGTGGTGGTGATGTTGTGGTGTAGTGGTGGTGGTGATGTGTGGTGTAGCGGTGGTGGTGATGTCGCGGTGTAGCGGTGGTGGTGATGTCGCGGTGTAGCGGTGGTAGTGATGTCGTTGTGGTGATGTCATGGTGTAGTGGTGGTGGGGATGTCGTGGTGTAGCGGTGGTGGTGATGTTGTGGTGTAGCGATGGTGGTGATGTCGTGGTGGTGATGTCGTGGTGTAGTGGTGGTGGTGATGTCGTGGTGTAGCGGTGGTGGTGATGTTGTGGTGTAGCGGTGGTGGTGATGTTGTGGTGTAGTGGTGGTGGTGATGTGGTGGTGATGTCGTGGTGTAGTGGTGGTGGTGATGTTGTGGTGTAGCGGTGGTGGTGATGTCGTGGTGTAGTGGTGGTGGTGATGTTGTGGTGTAGCGGTGGTGGTGATGTCGTGGTGTAGCGGTGGTGGTGATGTCGTGGTGTAGTGGTGGTGGTGATGTTGTGGTGTAGCGGTGGTGGTGATGCCGTGGTGTAGCGGTGGTGGTGATGTTGTGGTGTAGCGGTGGTGGTGATGTCGTGGTGTAGCGGTGGTGGTGATGTCGTGGTGTAGCGGTGGTGAGTGATGTGGTGTAGCGGTGGTGGTGATGCCGTGGTGTAGCGGTGGTGGTGATGCCGTGGTGTAGCGGTGGTGGTGATGTCGCGGTGGTGGTAGAGGTGGTGGTGATGTAGCGGTGGTGGTGTAGCGGTGGTGGTGTAGCGGTGGTGGTGTAGCGGTGGTGGTGTAGCGGTGGTGGTGTAGCGGTGGTGGTGATGCCGTGGTGGTGATGCCGTGGTGTAGCGGTGGTGGTGATGTCGCGGTGTAGCGGTGGTGGTGATGTCGTGGTGTAGCGGTGGTGGTGATGTCGTGGTGTAGCGGTGGTGGTGATGTCGTGGTGTAGTGGTGGTGGTGATGCCGTGGTGTAGCGGTGGTGGTGATGCCGTGGTGTAGCGGTGGTGGTGATGTCGTGGTGTAGTGGTGGTGGTGATGTCGTGGTGTAGTGGTGGTGGTGATGTCGTGGTGTAGTGGTGGTGGTGATGTCGTGGTGTAGCGGTGGTGGTGATGTCGTGGTGTAGTGGTGGTGGTGATGTCGTGGTGTAGCGGTGGTGGTGATGTCGTGGTGTAGCGGTGGTGGTGATGTCGTGGTGTAGCGGTGGTGGTGATGTCGTGGTGTAGCGGTGGTGGTGATGTCGTGGTGTAGTGGTGGTGGTGATGTCGTGGTGTAGTGGTGGTGGTGATGTCGTGGTGTAGCGGTGGTGGTGATGTCGTGGTGTAGTGGTGGTGGTGATGTCGTGGTGGTGATGTCGTGGTGTAGCGGTGGTGGTGATGTCGTGGTGTAGTGGTGGTGGTGATGTCGTGGTGTAGCGGTGGTGGTGATGTCGTGGTGTAGCGGTGGTGGTGATGTCGTGGTGTAGCGGTGGTGGTGATGTTGTGGTGTAGCGGTGGTGGTGATGTCGTGGTGTAGCGGTGGTGGTGATGTCGTGGTGTAGCGGTGGTGGTGATGTCGTGGTGTAGCGGTGGTGGTGATGTCGTGGTGTAGCGGTGGTGGTGATGTCGTGGTGTAGCGGTGGTGGTGATGTCGTGGTGTAGCGGTGGTGGTGATGTCGTGGTGTAGTGGTGGTGGTGATGTCGTGGTGTAGTGGTGGTGGCGATGTCGTGGTGTAGTGGTGGTGGTGATGTCGTGGTGTAGTGGTGGTGGTGATGTCGTGGTGTAGTGATGGTGGTGATGTCGTGGTGTAGTGGTGGTGGTGATGTCGTGGTGTAGGGGTGGTGGTGATGTCGTGGTGTAGTGGTGGTGGTGATGTCGTGGTGTAGCGGTGGTGGTGATGTCGTGGTGTAGTGGTGGTGGTGATGTCGTAGTGTAGCGGTGGTGGTGATGCTGTGGTGTAGCGGTGGTGGTGTAGCGGTGGTGGTGTAGTGGTGATGCGTGGTGTAGCGGTGGTGGTGATGTCGTGGTTTAGTGGTGCCGGGTGATGCCGTGGTGCAGTAGTGGTGTAGTGATATCATGGTCTAACTATAATGTAGCGATCGTGCGGTGGTTGCGGCACCTCAAAGTCAATGCGCTGCAGCTGTGTAATGAGCACGGGGATGAGGCCACTGTTGTAGAGCTCCTGGGCCAGCTGAGCCACAGCCTCCGGCTGGGGCTCCTTGTCTCCCGTGCCGTAGAGGATCTCCTTCATCGCCGCCAGGCTCTTCGACACCTCCTCGCTCGCCTGCACACGCGCCCCACCCCACGCAGCACCGGTCAGCAGCGCCAACAGCGGTCGCTGCATTCATTGCAACGGCGGCTGCAACAGCAGTGCTGGCAGCAGCAGCACTGGCAGCAGTAGTGGTGGTAACATCAGCAGTAGCCGTGATAGCAGATGCAGCAGTGGTGGTAGCAAGAGCAGCAACAGTAGTAGAGGCAGCATCCATCAATGGGGTTGCAGTATTATTAACCACAGCAGCAACAGGATATGACATTGGTGGCACATGCCTGTTGCTATAATAGTGGATGATTTGCACTCCCCCTGCTTGCTCAAGATGTTCCTCTCACCCCATGATGTGACAAGCATGTTTTTTTTAATCAGGAGCTTAAATGCGCCTTAAACCAACATCTCCCTCTCAATCACTCCTTATTCCCAGCTGTGTGTGTTTTTTTGGCCCAGCTGATTATAGCTTGTCAGTGTGCAGCAGCAGCACAAGGTGAGGGCACAGACGATCTGAAGAGCGGACATTAGTCCACCAATAAGTTGCGAGGTGGGGCGAGGTTGCTGTCGGTTATTCAATTTAAGCAGCTTGCAAGTACCTTTTCAAATGTGGACATCAATGTTGTGGTTTCAGGTGTGTACCCTTCCTGCACGTAAGTGTCTATATACTGTAATACCTGATGCTGACACTCTTACTGCTAATGCTGCAGATTACACTTATTTATTTCTAATTTATTTATCCAGGAAATCCATATTGAGTCTCAAATATGGGTGATTTTTTGGGATATTCCTGCATTGGAATTTTTGGCAAATTCTTTGCAAGCCCTATCTGATTTCGTGTGCGGGAAAACCGAGTACCCAGCTCACTGGGGCGCCACGGTAACGAGAGGGTATCTGCATCACCTGGTAAACAAGAGGTTGTGGGTTCGATCCAAACCCTGATGCCAGTATATATGCAGTTTGCATGTTCTCCCCGTGGTCGCATCGATTTTCTCCAGGTCCTCCAGTTTTTCCCTCCACGTTTAGAAACATTGTGTTTCGAGTATTTGGCTGCTATAAATATCCCACGTGACTTTGTTGATCGAGCATTTGTGGCCGGGTCACTTCTGACAAAGAGCTACATAGCTCAGTGGGCCTGACCTGGTAAAATAAAAAAAATATAGGACATTTTTGTTGACCCACTACACGTATGAGAGGAAAACACAGGGTCCAAAAAGCTGTGCTCCAGGAACTACTTGCTGCGCTGCCATCGCCTGACCACCAGCACCGAATTTTCCGGGTTTAGGAGTTGCAATGTTCTCTACACGATCCACCAAGCTTAACCTCAAAAGTGTTGGGAAGTTGGCGGAGGGGGGGGGGAATGGGGAGAACAGCGGTGATTGTGGGATCAGTAGAAGCAGCAATAGCAGTCGTCGTAATGCAAATAGCAGCAGCGGGAGCATTGGCAGCAGGATCATGAACCATTAGCAACGGCAGTAATTAAGCATCAGCATCACCAATAGCAACCACCGAGCGAGCGTTGGAATGCACAGCGGTAGCACCAGAAAAAGCAGCCGCACCGGGAGCAGTTCAAGCGGCAAGAGCATAAACTCTAGCGGCCACAAGAGCAGATTAGTACAAGAGTACAATCAGCCATCTCTCCACTGCTGGACGAAGGCCTCCCCCCTCCCATACGCTGTCATTATCCCTCACGGTCCAGTACTGCCACCGTTCCAATTCGCTCCTGCACCTAAACCGGTCACATTGCTTCATCTCCTCGGCGATCATACTCCTCGACGCATTCTCTCGTTTGACTGCCACTCCGTCACCATTCTCCTCCATCGGCCACTGCCCATCGAGTGATACGTTCTGCTCGCTCAGTCTCAATACCCGTCCTCTTTCAACTGGGTCTAAATGCCTGTTAATTTATGGACTGTGTCTAGATATCACGAACCCCATTAACCTTGTTCCGATGACGGACAAGTACGTCATTGGAACAAGATTCAGCAGTGAATGTGACCCACCCACCCTGCAAATTACAGACGTCTCGGAATGGGAAAGGGTTGACCTGGTCTCCACAGTGTAATTCATGTGTCAGTTTCCACTAATGTGTGACAGGATAATGGGAAAACCATTGCTGCTTTCCAACAACGTGGCCTGGCTTGTTTTTCTCCTACGGTCGTCAGAAAATCGCTTTCCGGCACCACGTAACCCAGTGCCGAATACCTCTTTGGCTCGCCAACATAATCCACACGTGGAGACCACTTTACATTTCCTGCTCCTTCCCTCACACTGCTCCACTATGGAATTCCCCTGCACCGTCGATTTTCCCAGCCTCTTTTAACAACCTTGCTCAATTTAAGAAGCACGTCAACAGTGATCTATTACAACTTCGACGGTCGAATTAACATGTAGACTTTCGAAAACAATATTATCCAGAATAGAGTTTTTGAGTTAAGAGGCTGGTTGTAATTACCTGCGAAACATCATACTTGTAAATGTTGTGGGTTTGTTTACTCTCCAACACACTGGTGTGCTGAACTAGTAACTTAATTGGCATGTTTTGTTTATGTGACAAACCTAACTAATTGGCCGTGTTGGGTGGTGGCAGGTTTAATGACATTCATATTTACGAGATCTGACCCCAAAAAAACCTAAACTTGGACAGTGCTGTTTGTTGTTGGCCTTTTTATGTTTTTGGGCCCTTGGGTCCACTCTGAGAAACCGTTGTCAAAACGACAAGAATCCCGCATGTGCTCACCGCACCTTCTCCGCCTTCTTGTCCTGCTTCTCCAGCTGTGCCAGGCTCTCCTTGAGGTGGCGCACCACCTCCGCCGGCGTCTTGTGGGACTTGCCGAACAGGGGCATGTCTGCCGAGGGTCCGAGGGGGGACGCGCGCGCTCGCCCACTCACAGAGCCACTCAACCCACTCGCTCGCGCGCCCACACCGCTTCGTCCACGCGCTCGCACACACACACGCGTACGCTCTCTCGCCTACTTGTTCACTCGCTCGTTCCTGACTCAGCAAAAAATACGCTCACATGCGCATACACGGACTGTCGCCTGAATGAAGACCAGGAGCACAGGCACACACACACGCACACAGATACACACACACAGACACACCAGACAGACCCACATACGCACACACAGACATAGGTTAGGATAGAACATGCAACCTGTTGATAAGAATTTCATTGAAAATGTTACTGCCATCAAGAGTTGTGTTGTCAGGAGGCAATGCCGTGTCCTTCCTGACATTGGGTAGAGCCTCACTCTGTCCGTGTCAGTGACTGCATCACGGACATTATACGAGAGCCGGGGTACTATGGTACCCCGGGGTACCGCCGAAAGGTTAATATCATGATAAACGATCATTTAAATTCACAGTTGTTTTATTGGAACCCAATTAATATCGTTAACAGAGGGACCACTGCGTAAACCCACGTGTGTGGGATGCCCACGTTGAACCGGGGAGGGGGGGGAACTCGTGTTAAAATTGCGGCTCAGCAATTACTCAACGGGCAAACTCCACGAGCCGCTCGGCCGCCTCTAAAACACGCCAACCGTCGACATCAAGGAAGGACATCAAAGCCCCGGTGCTTTTACAGAAGAGAAGTTTAGGGATAGAGGTCACTGCTTTATCAGTTTCCGTAATAAAGGCGAACATGATGAACTGCCAGGGTATGTGCATATTTGCCCAGTGTCCTCCTGTCGTAACACCCAACAGTGGTCACGACATAGAGAAACATGTCATTTTCACCACTTTTCTGAGCCACCAAATAGAAATGAGCATGGCATGAGAGCTCGTTACATCTTAAAAAACTGTAAACTAAAAATTTGTTTATTTTACCAGGTAAGGCCCACTGAGCTATGTAGCTCTTTGTTCAGAAGCAACCTGGCCACAAATGATAGCTCAACGGAGGGGATTATCGTGTTGAAATGTATTGCAGCCAATTACTCTAAATGCGTGTTTCTAAATGTGGAGGGGAAAACTGGAAGACCCGGAGAAAAATCCATACTCCAAATATACAGCAGGCATGAAGGTCGGGCCCACGACCTCCTGTAGACCAGGCGAGTTAGTTAACATCTAGCTACTGTGGCATTTCAATGCCGCTTGAGAAGTGCTGGATGCAGCGATTGCATAACCCCGTACATTCCTTTAAACACATGACAGGTGACAAAACTATTACACAACATGACCCCCCCACCCCCCATGTAGGTACCAGTTAAAATAAGAGCACCGCGTTCTCCAACTGCACGAGCGCTCGCGGTGGACACGCACGCAGCAAAGATGTCAGACGCCCATTAAACAAACACGCATTCCCGACCGATGCGTATTAAGAGCGTGGCGCACACTCAGAAGAATGCAAAGTTATAATCCGGCTTAAGCCATCATCCCAATTGGGTGCGATAAAATTAGTACCTCTTTGTGGGAAGTCAGTAAAAAGATTTGTTATTGCACTCTTACGAGTCCTGTCCATCACGAACGCACATTGATTACACATTGAAGTAGGCTCCATGGAACAACAACAACACTATTTGGAGTCTGTTCCAGAACTGGCTCGGACTCACGGATGGATCCCGAACATGAGCTGGTAGCGTGTTCCAGCATCTTTGGGCCGGAGACCTTGAAACTGCGCTGGCCTTATATCGTACGCGAGATTTACACGCAGCAGGTATAGCAGCAGCGAGCAGCGGATCATAGTCCAAGTCGATTTTGGTCTGTTGAAGCTGGTACACACTGATCGGCGAGAGAGGACGGAGCAGACCGATGGAGCACTGGGGGAGAAGTCAAAAAGAGTTCAACTAAGGCAGGAGACTAACTCGCCCACGAGCGTGAATTTGGTGCCGACAAATCGGCAGGAATATTTGCACTTGTGCAATTTGTACTTCTACAATGTATTTATAGTGACTTGCTTAGCTTTCATCTATTTTGCACCGGTCGTTTTTTTGTACTGTTTGTCGATGTAATTCGCCGACCCGCACCTGATGTAAATATGTGATAAAGAGCTTAATAGCTCATCAGGTTCCTCCAGGATAGAGGTTCTAAACTCTGAACGTGGAACTCTCACCGATGATTCGTGGACTCCACTGCCCGACACTCAAGGGGCACAGTTTTCACGCTTGCGCAAGTAAATGTGACCGCTTTTTTAAATTACATTCATGAGGAAAAGTTACAAATCTGAACAAAAAACTACGAGGTCACGTAACTTGATAAGGTTTTCAATTCGCACAGTTTTGCGCGTGTGGGCGACGCGGCTCAGAAAGAGTAAATATTACCTCTCAACTGATCATCTTACAGCACTGGGCACAGTGAGGCTACAGTGAATTCAACAAACTCAGTGACCAAGTATTTTATCTATGCCGCAATGGCCGGGTGCCTCTGTGGGCTCATGATGGCCGTGTCAAAGACACTCAGCAAGTAGATTAAATGAGCCACCCTCAATCCAGTCACCAGCGACTACAAAACAAACAGGACATGCAAATAATATTTATTATTTGCATTTGCTAGAGAGCCCTCCATTATGCAGACGCATCTCAAAAGCTAATTGCACGCGATAAGCAACTTACCTCATCTAAAGAAAATTGAAAAGGCACCCTTGGTGGCAGCTGTCCCCTGTGTGGCAAAAGGCAACTCGGCCACCTGACTGGCACACAACAGGCATTATTCTCCGAGTAGGCAGCGATGATTGCCGCTTTGTGGAATCCCAATAGAGTAATTTTCCGCAACCGAAATAACTGAGCGTTTAAACCAAGGCCGTAGCCATGGAGTCAACATTGGGGGGGGACCAAATCTTTCAGGGGGTCTGGGGGTCCCCCCCAGAAAAAAGATCAAAATTTGAAAACTAATTTCCTGCCATTTTCTGCCAAAAATATTTAAAAATTCACTAACACATGAGATGGACGTATTATTTATTTTTTACAATAATGTCTAATAGTGTATTGTATTACATTGCTCTGTTTTTTCTTTTTTTTACCTTTTCTTGTTTCATTGTATTTAATGGCAGATATTAGGGATGAATAAAGTACAACCATAACCACAATCATATAAACAGAAATCTATGCATTGTCATTTGAAGACAAGTCCAGATATTGTGGCCAAGGTTTAGCAAATTGTTGTTTTATTTACATATTTACAAGTAAACTTGGGTGGGCAGCAGGGGCGTTTGCTCTGCTCTCCTCTCATATCTTCTCCTCTCCAGCCTTCTCGCCTCCTCCCCACTGGTCCTATCTTCTTCTCTCTTCTCCAGTCATCTCTTTTCCTCTCTCCTGCTCTGCAGTCATTTTTGCTCCTTTGCTCTGCTCTCCTATCAACTCCTCTCCAGGCAATGACAAGTGCTTTGATTTGCCATTCTTCAAGCAAAGGATCCCAAGCTCTGTTTGCGCTTATCGTTGACACCGTTAGAAGACTGGCATATTCCTTCAAGGTCCAGTCCAGTTTCTCCTGGTGCACATGACACATGGCCACATTTTTCAGCCTTGTTTGACTCATCGAAGATCTAAGCCATGTCTTAAGCCTCCTCAGAGCACTAAAACTCCTCTCAGCCTCTAAAGAGGAGGCAGGGACGACCAGCAGAAGCCTTACTAAAGCTTCCACCTGACTGAAGAGACCTCTCACCTCTGGCACTATTTCCCTAATAATGCTAGCAACATCTGAGCTCATTTGAGATGTGTAATTCGCCCCAAACATGGCCAGCTGCACCTGCAGTCATCTTGAATTCAATTCAGGAGACTCGTCTACCACCTTGTCCATGTCTCTGCGTAGTAGCACATTCTCAAGCTGCTGCAGCTTGTGGAATCCAGCTTGATGGAACCTCTATGAATTGAATATTCACTGTGTCCAAGCGTTGTATAATTGGGCTCTGTACAAAGACTGGGCATCCGGATGGATATGGGCTGCAGCCTGACCGGTGTAACACTTTGTAGGTTTGCGGATATGAGGCCAAATTTTGTAAAAATATTTTTTACATCAATATATTGGGGGGGGGGGGGACATTTTGAGCATATTTGAATATTGGGGAGGGATGTGTCCCGTCCCCCCCCCCCAATATACATGAAATTATGGCCTTGGCTTAAACAACCGGGTTGTGAAGGACAGCCGTTTCGTGACTGGGGGCGAGCAGTCTGCTGGAGAGAGACCGGCTCAACGCTCTCAGTGGCATTGGCTTGTATTGCAGCTTTGTGCATGTGCTTGTTGATATGATTTGGGCCACAGTGGCAAGATGATAACTACCTCGCCTGGTATACTGGAGGCCATGGGTTCGATCCCAACCCTGCTGTATATTTGGAGTTTTCATGTTCTTCCTCCCCGCGGTAGCGTTGATTTTTCTCGGGTCCTCCGGGTTTGTTATCCCCCACATTTAGAATCAACATCACGCGTTGAGAGCATTTGGCTGCGATACATTTCCAAGTGATAAGCCACTTCGTTGAGCTATTATTTGTGGCAAGGTCGCTTCTGAAAAAGAGCTACATAGCTCAGTGGGCCTGACCTGGTAAAAATGTTTTTTTAAATATCAGCTATAGGGCACCTGGGCACAGGCGAGTGAGAGAAGAGCGACACATGGGGCCTCCTGATCACGGTTCCGACAGCTTCAACACAAGCGCTCGTACCGTGTCACAGAACTACAGCGGCACGGTGGCCATGCAGCGGCACGGAGGTGGGATGATGTATGTCCTCATCATCACGATCCGTGGGCACATAACCCCTAGGTGTCCAAACTGCACATTTCATCATTTGTTTCCACTTTCCTTGGTCTTGTGCCAATATGCTCAAGTAGTGCCACATCTTTCTGGCACCTTTCTGGGTTGTATGTACCATGGGTGGAAAAAACCCGATTTTTCAAGCGGCAGGCATCAGGTTTTTTCTTTAACACAATTAAACCCGATTTCGGGGAACTAAACCCTGGTTTAATGAATGCAAAACTCTGATAGGCTTAGGCTGTTTCCTCGTCGGTGCTGCTATCGTACTCGGGGCCGTCGGGCACGGGGTAGTCGTAGAATGCGGCGGGCAGGTTGGTCTTGATGAACATGAGCTTCTCCACAATCGTGGGCGCCAGTGAGTTGCTTAGCTTGGAATGGATGAAGCCCATCGTTGAGAAGTGCGGTTCTGCAATTAGAACCAATTAAACCGGATTTCTCCCAATCTCAGATGATCGGGTTTAATATAAAAAGACAATTAAACCCGATTGAAAAAAACCCGACTATGCCACCCTTGGTATGTACAAACATAGATTGGGGGTTGTTAAACAAAATCCAGTAAACCAGTAATCAGGTGATGGAAAGGGGCAATGTGGGAGGTGGGGGGGTTTAGAAGCTTGCCCCATCGCTATAACTGCCGTGCCAGGAGATGAGATCAAACCGGTGTCCTCTGGATGGCAAATTAAGTGTGGCTAACCCTTACACACCACTGTATCAGCTCCCAACCATTTCTCAGTGAAAGAGGTTTATATTTTTTCTAAAACATTTATATGCGTGGCAAACCAGGAGTGGAAAAACGATTTTAACAATCCTAATATACATAACATTTGGCGATGCTGCATCAACAAATGTGCCATAAAGGACTATTGCCCAAAACATTACCTATTATGTCTTTTCCTTTTAAGGCCGCAGTGTATTGACAAACGTGCTTAGTTTCTATATAGATATGTATATGGCCGGATGTGATCTGCGTCCATTAAGGAAGATGAAAGAATAACCATTCGGAGCCTGCTGGGCCAGCCCCGTCTCAATAGCTCACGTGCGCCAATAAAAAAGCTGTGGGTCATAAGTCGAAGTCGTTTAAAAAAATACACGTGACGGCCAAGTACGGACTCAAAGTCTCTTTATCAATGGCAAGCTCTGACGCAAGGAGGTGCCGGCCAACGCTCCGTTAACTTGATAAGCAAATAAAAGTTAAATAGCCCCATGTAGATTGACTTGTGATATTTCTCCGGCTTCTCCTTTGTACGTTGAATTTCTTTCACACCGTACATAGCCAACCGTGTTAATCGGAGGTGCGAGAAAAGACAGCAAACTTCATTAATAATCTGGCTGTGAATATGAATCCTCAAGTGCATTAAGTGGTTGTATTGAGAATATACCAACGTGTGCACACACCGCACTTTGTCAATTCACTGCTGAATGTCGGCTGCCTCGGCACACAACACCGATGTTAAAACGTTCACTAAATCTGATGCAACCGAGAAATAAACATCTTAATTGGCGCAGGCATGTACTGAGTTAAAAGCTCCATTCAGGAGATGAACGAGACTTGAAAGCTACAGCCAGGAAAGTCATCATGGCACTCGAGTGACTTCCCCGTGACATCACTTCCATACCTCTAATAAAGCACGGTTGGCTAGGTACGATGCGAAAGAAGTTTCAACATACAGCACATACATACGCAGCGGCGTCACGTAAGCGTTATGGCGGAGCACCTGGTGGTGATTTTAACCAAATTTTGTCGATGCAGACATTTCAAACGTGTGTTAAAGAGTTCAGGACACACAGCCAGGCAGTTATCAGAACAGCGCTCGATGTGAAGACAGACGTGAGTGTGGCTTCAGACACATGAAGAGGAATGAAAACTTCTGGGCTTCTAAGCTTCACGCTCTTTGTCAGCCCTGCAAATTAATGAACACGGGACAAAGATCCCACGTAGCACACACGGGCTGTTGGGGGCAAGTGCTGTTAGCGAGCACCTAAATTAGGTTGGCAAGGCACACGAGGGGGTTGGTGGCCAACGCCACGCCCGGTTGCCTTTGTCTGCCCAGTGCTGATATTTACACACAGCACAAGGTACTCATTTAAGGCCGAGTCAACCTAATTTCGGGGAGGCCCAAGACTAGGTAAATTATTCGTCACCGATGTTGGTCGTGAACAGGAATGGAATTCGAGTTGTTGGGTTTGTAGCGCAGTGTGCTATACCACAACTCTTTATACGAAGAGGGAACACACACACACACCACACACACTTGGATTCATTATACACACGGCCCGTGAAGGAGGAGCACTATGCCACACCTTAAAGGTGACCAAATCTTCGGCGAGCAATTAAATGCAGATGCCTTCTCAATGTTGGGTGACCAAAGAAGGATAACGTGAAACGGAGATCAGGTGACAAAAAGGCATGGGGGAAGAAGAAATAAACCACAGCGTTCCAGCGACTGGAACAACGGTTCTGACGCAAGCGTAAACTTGAAACTTCCAGAAACTAACACTCGCGTGTTCTGTGTCCAGCGCTTCTCTACGGACACAAAATTAACCAATAAATTTTGGTAAAATAAAAATCGTAAAAAGAAATGTTCACACATTCATCCACCCAAGCAGCACTGGGCAGGCCCAAAACAGTATGTCTTCTGAGACCGGGCGCATTCCCGGCGAGTTGGCCATCAGCTACAATTACCTCAATTGTAACAAATCAGGTGTGAATACAAAGATGCCCCGTATAGCCTTAACGGACTGTTAGGTAAGTGCTGTTAGCGAGCACCTATGAAGGCCGGAACAGATCATGGAGGTTTGGGATGGCAAGCATCACGCTCGACACCCTTCATTGCACACTACAGACAAGACATCTTCTTTCGTATGGCATTTGAAAAAAGCAGCAGGGCCACAATTGTGTGTTCAATGTTGTAAGCCATTCCACGGCATACAGGGTGGGGTGGTAGCTGAGCGGAGTCCGGTTGTTCCACCAGAAAACGCTACACACACACTATACACCTTACAAAGACAAAAATCCCCGTATAGTCTTAACAGACTGTTGGGGTAAGTGCGGTTTGCGAGCACCTATGAAGGCTGGTACAGCACACGAGGGGGTGGGTAGCCAGCACCATGCCCGACCACCTTTGTCTCCCCAGTGGCGATGTTTACACATCGCACCAGGTACTCATTTAAGGCTGAGTCGACTTAGGGGAGGCCCAGGACCGGTTCAAATAATCGTCACCGGTGTTGGTGGCCGTGAGCGTGAATCGAACTTGGGTCGCCGGGTTCGAAGCGCAGCACCCTAACCGCTCCAAACTACCGCTGATACGCGTACACAATTGGACGCACGAGAATCGTGCACACAGGAATCTATTTTAATCGAGGAATCGTAGCCAATACTGCAAGTGTGGGAAAATCCCAGCTGGCAGCGGCATTGTGCAGCGCCCTCCGCCTGCTGAATGTCGTTGTTGTCGTTGCAGCATTGCCAAAACCACGCTCTCATGCAACATCACTTACAAGGACGACACCGCCCCGTCCTCGTCATTGCAAAATTCTTGGAATTCCTCTCTACGCGTTCTGCTGCTGTTGCTGCATGTAAACAAACCTCCAAAAGAACCAGGTCCCATGCAAGAGCTTTACCCTTGGCAGTATGTCACAACATCAAGTTTTACTCCGCTCTGCATAAAACGCACACAAAACAACACTGACAGAGAACCCCCCCCAACCACCCCCCCATAACATTTTGAAAGATCATAGGGGCGAGCGGTGTTAGAGAGTAGCACCTATTAAGGCCAGCATGACGCAGTGAAGGCTCAGCGAGGCTAGCACACGACGCCCGGCCGCCTTTGTCTCCTCAGTGCTTATGTTCACACGCAGAACCAGGTATCCATTGATGCCGAGTCATCCTTTGCAGAGACTACAAACAGGTTCTACTAAAACTCTCCACTGGTGTTAGCCCTTACCAAAATTTGTAGCGTTATCTAATCCTGGTAATGGAACAGATTTTCAGTGTAATGTGTGAATAACTATGCCACCATCATACCAAAAAACACGAAGATACCCCATATAGTCTAAACAGACTGTTGGGTTAAGTGCCGTTTGCTAGCACCTATGAAGGCCGGCACAGCACACGAGGTGGTGGGTAGCCAGCACCACGCCAGTGGCGATGTTTACACATCGCTTCAGGGACCTACGGGAGGCCCAGGACCGATTCAGAAAATCGTCAATGGTGTTGGACGTGAGTGGGAATCAAATTCGGGTCGCTAGGTTCTTAGCGCAACACGCTAACCGTTGCGCCACTGTTCCCCACACACACATGGGCGCATGCAGAATGCCAAATATTTATAAATTAATCAACTTCCATTCCTTACCTCCAGAAAAGCCGAAAGTCCTACTGAACTTCCAGACTTGCGCGAACAAGAAGCATTTGTTTAAGCCACGACTCGTGGTGCGGAGAGAAGCAACTGACGTCACGCCTCCCAAACCGGCAGTATTTGTTTGGTAAGCCTGGATGAGAGCCCGAAGGTCGAAAGTCGAAACCCGTTCCAAAGTTTTGGAAAGTTAAATGCTGCCGGTTAACATAAGCTCTGGGCCCATGACACTTCAAATACTACATTTTTATGTGGCGATAGAAAAGGGAATTTTTATATTTATCTTATTTATTATCTGAAATAGCACTCTTGAGCAAAAAAAAAAGAGTCAAATGCAATTTGTGCAAGTTCAGATTGTAAAGGTTTATAGTGGTAATCATATTTAAGCAGTGAAAATGGCATCTTTATCATCGTTAACCACTCAAACAAGGAACTATACAGTTGCTGCTTTTACGAATTTATTTTTATATGAGAACCGGTTAACTGCTTACAATAACAAGGGGATGTTTTTGCTGGCACTGAAAAGAAAGATCTGTTTCGGCACAATGCCCTTCTTTCATGAGAGAGAAGACGGCCAGTTGCCTCATGTGTTGGACAAAAACATTGGCCGATTTCCTCCTGGTGACAATAAATAAAGAACCTCAGGAATTATTGTTAATTACCCCATTGTCCATCCGATGAATTACAGAAGCCCGGCTGCATTGTGCTCAAAAGTCAGTTACTCGAATTCTACAAGTTTGGATTTTTCTCCAGGGGCTCCCGTTTTCCTCCCACATGTACGAATACAAATTGTCTGGAAACATCTTAACATACAGAGGACTGCAGAGCTTGGACAATTGTTGGTGGGGCCGACTTACCACTTGGCTGCTGCCTTCCAGCTCGCCGCGTCTGTGGGTCCGCAGCGACTGTGAGATGCAAGTTGCATGAGCGACGACGTTGCATATAAAAATACAACTTTAAACGAAAAAAAAATAAGTAATGTATGCTGATGTAAGGGATCTGCGAGCTACCCTCACGCACACGCACCACGCAGACACGACATCTCCGCTCTCACTACAACACACATCAATCACACGCGCGGGAATGCGCTGGACGGGGGTCAGGGGTTAAAGGGCAGTGACGTCACCCAGACCAGACGTGGATGTGTATTGGGAGCTGTGTATTGGGAGCGAGGGCGGAGATGGAGGGGTTAAAAGGGGCTGTGGGACGTGTGTTCGGGGTTGGTTTTGGAACGAGTGTTGCTGTGAGTTTGAGAAATAAAGAAGTGCTGGAATCATTCTCAGACTCCTCTTCACTTCTATAAAGCCAGGTCATTTCTCCAAATTTCTCATGGGAAACCCAGTATATGTGATAATTATGCCTGTGTGTTTAATATCTATACCTGCACTATCTGATCAGTATATCTCCGTGTCGAGTTGAGGAACTACATGTTAGTGCTCATCGTTTAAAATATGTTCTTGCGTGACCAATACGTGCATCAAAATGCGTGTGCAAGATGCAATTGTGACTGATGCTAATTCTGGGAATAATTTACATTCACGCAAATTGTGTGGACACAATCTAGCAAGCGAGACAGAACACAACAAAAATTAAGGAATACAAATGAGACGTTAAAAAACGAGGCATGAACAGAACGATTTCAGGATCGAACCGCAAATGTTGCCAGCTCGTCAAATCAGAAAGTGGTGGCGGAAGAGACTTTAAGCCGGGCGGTGGTGGCAACTCCGCTGCCCAGGGGGTGGATCACCGGACAGATGCTTTGAAACTCCCTTCCCTTGGGCGTCGAGGAGGTGGTAAAAACAAATATGGACGCCAACAGTTCCATCTGTAAGGGATAGAATGTTGCCCCCTCACATGCGTGGTTTCCTCTCACACGTAAACACTTATCAATTGGCCGCTAATAATCATAATAAATAGATGGCATGGCTAGGAGGGGGGGGAGGCAGAATTTTGTGCCAGCTCACCACCTGGCTGCCTCTCCCGCTTGTCTGTGGTTCCTTTTCGCGCCTCTGAGTCATTCTCGTTGTTGTCGAGAGTGATCACTGCGCGCTACAAGTGGAAATTATTGTTGTTACCCAAACACTAATCACACTATTGTGAGTAACTTGCTCTTGTCTGTGTGTAGGCAGCCCGTCACAGCCGCTCTCCTCCTGCCAAACCTGTTTGGACACCTGACGCCTCGGCCTCACTCTGCTTGTTGATTTTCTCTAAACCCACCTTTGCCTATCCCGATGAAGCTCATGCAGCCGGAATAGAAATAATATGATTAAAGCCTCAACATAGCGATCATTATAATCTGTATAGGTCGCACCAGAACGCGTGAATGTGTTCCTACAACTGTGTGCGCAAGTGTGCAGCCCGAGCCCGACGATGGTTTTACACACTGCGCAAACAATCTTGGCCACGTGGGTTCGATAACACTGGTCACACTTTTTCTGGCGTAAGGTATTCCAACGATTTCAAGGTAATTTTGGGGTGCTGATTCCAAATCTGGCATCAGTTTTTGTCTATCACATCAGGTTTTTGAGATATCAAATATAGCATTTTCAATAAAACCTGCAGAAGAAAAATATTAAATAAATGTGGATATCTACATAAAATGATATTATAAACACACTATCCTAAAAATACAGCACCATATTTTAACACTAAAGCAGTCACTGACTCGCAACAACTTGCAATCATAAGTGACAGAGTTAATTTCGGGTAAAATCAATTAAAATGGGGTATGCCGATAGCATAAAAATGAGATGTGATAGAGCAAATCTGAGATCAGATTTGGAATCAGCACCCTGAAATTAGTCTAAAACAGCTGCAAAAGTCCAGGCCAGGAATTTTTTTTTTGTTGACCAGTGTAATTACTGGTAAGAACGCACAAACCATCGGACCAGGGTCTAAACTAAACTACTAAAATACTTTTTTTATTTTACCAGATAAGGCCCACTGAGCTATATAGCTCTTTTTCAGAAGCAACCTGACCACAAATGATAGTTCAACGAAGTGGCTTATTGCATGGAAATTTAAAGCAGCCAAATACTCTAATCGCATGTCGATTCTAAATGCGGAGGGAAAACCCGGAGGACCCGGAAAAAAATCGCCGCTACCATATACGGGCGTCATGGTCGGTATCGAACCCACAACCTCCTGTATACCAGGCGAGGTAGTTAACATCTCACCACCGTGGAAGAGTATCACATCGTATTAAAACTTGGCTTGGACTTCCCCCCCCCTCGAAGCAAAAAAAAAATTAGCAGTACCTGGTGTGGAATCAAACATGGGCACTGTAAGTCAAATTTAGACAAAGTCAGGCAAGTGGTGGCACTAACTTCGGCCAATCCTTTAGTACGCCCAGCTGGAGTTAACAGGCCATTCACTTAAAGAACTTTTAGAACGGTCGATAAGGCGCGTCACGGATGTTAGCCGTGGCCTTGAATCTAACTCGGGTCGCTGGCTTCACAGCGCAGTGCGCAAACTACTGCGCTACCATTGCCTCTCCCTCCCTTAAGTATCAGGGGAATAACAACCAATATCGCAATTATTTCTTTCATCCAGAAAAGCCTCTACGTCCCAAGATACATTTTCAGAAAATTATGCCGAGAGGTTTGTTTGTAATAAAGTGCACTTCAATTACCGTCTAATAAAAAAAGATATTAGCCATAACCATACCAAAGTGCTTATTATTACACGCCACTCTTAGGAGGGGAGGATGCCACCTCCCAATTGGGCCCCTTGCATGACTAAACAGAGCCGGGGGCTGTCAATCTCCTCATTACCGAGGGCTGCCCCCCACAGGGGGAACAGCGTTGTGTTTGTGCAGTCGTACGGCTCGCGTTGCATTAGCAACAACAAAAAACGCACCGCTGCTGCCGCCCAGCCCTCGTGCCCACGTACCCACGTACCCACGTGCCCGCAACCAACGCCGGCGTGCAACGCGATAATGGGCATCGATTGATACGGGGGAGCATGCGCAGGCCACGGGCCTGACACGTTCGCACATCGGGGGGGGGGGGCGGTGCACCGCCCTTGGCAAAACCCCTTTTAACACCATTAAGATATCCGGTTCCGGGGAGGGGGGGGGTCACATAATCGCACTTTCGCCAACTGTGCCGGGCACCGAGAAAACGGTATTTAATTTCGTTGCGCTAATCCACCCTCCCCCCCCCAAATGAATGGGTCTCACAATCCGCTCTGCCGCGTCACCGAGCACAGAATGTGCAGGCTCCCGAGCCTGCTGGGTGGCACGAGAGAGGGGGTAGGAGGATGGGGGGGGGCGGGGGGGTTGTAATGGCCATGTCAAAGACACTGAGCAAGCGCCACAGAGAAAAGTACGTTCAAAACGCAAGCTGCGAGCCAGCAAACAGTTTAACTTTGAGGACACGGTGGTTGAAATGTACTGTATGTTGAGCTTCATTCTCACTGTACGTACCCGACCATGCTAAGCGGAGGTGGAGGAAATGTGGCGATACGCGACGGATACGTCATACCGCCGCTTCTAACATCATCAATTGTGCATACCGGCACTGTTCAGGACGGTTCCTAATCCGATGCTGCGACGTTTCCGCCGAGGGGAAAATGGCAGTGAACATGAGATGAGCTGCAGGACTAATAGGCTCCACACCATCACCGAGCGAATGTAAGCTCTCATGCGCAAAGGAGGCTCCACGAGTGGACTGACATGCCAGTTCGTTTTTAATTACCCAGCCCAGCCTAGCCGTGTTAGAAGTTTGACCCCACCTTGAAATTCGAGTACATTTGTTTGGGTGGGCATAAAGTTAAAGATTCGCCAAAGAAAACCAACAGAGAGAAGAGAACACCAGAAAATGCATCAGAGGTTGTTAACCAAACAACTTGGTGTACTGCCTTGTGCTGGAACCTAACTGCCCTGCAGGTCGGAGTCTTATACGCAATAAGCCAAGCGGCGGTGGCGCATGCCTCTAATCCAGCACAGTGGAGGCAAGCATTGGTGGATCTAACAAATGTTGTGAAACTTCCCATTCCGTTGGGTGTAGAGGTGCCATACCCTGGCTCGCCAGAATGCGGTACAGTAAAAATGTGGACCCCGCCTGTTCCGTCTGTATGGGATGGAGTGTTCCCCCCTCGCACGCTTGGGTTTCCTCCCAAATGTAAACACTTGATTGGCTGATATTCTGTAAGGGTAAAACAGGCTCAGATGTACAACCATGTGACTTTTGTAAGAATAATAATAACAGCAGGCAGTGATGGTGCACGTCTCTAACCCATCACTGTGGAGGCGAGGGTTGGTGCATCACACAAATACTGTAGAACTCCCTTCCCTGACTTGCTACAAAAACGTGGCTACAGCAAATGTGAACTCCACCTGTTCCATCTGTATGGGATAGTATTGCCCCCTCACATGTGTGGGTTCGTCTGGGTGGTCCAGTTTCCGCCCACATGTATAAACACTATTGATCGATAACACCTTCATATATAGAGAACTGCTGAGCTTGGAGGGGAATTTGACACTATCTCCCCACATGCCTGCTACCTCCCAGCTCTTCTGTGGCTTCAGCTGGCATTTCCAAAGCCTAACTTGTGAGTAAGTACCTGTGCGATGCGTTAAACGTTCAAGTTATTGTTTTGAATGACCAGCGCCGCTTACGACAGGCGTGCACCACCACGTTTAGCAAAATTGGAGTGTACGTTCGTACTTATCGAGTGCGTAAGAAAGCATCCACTCGCCTTCACTGCTGAAGAGTTGAGTGCAGCGCAGCAGCTGTGTACATGATAAAAGTAAGGATCTGGAGAAAAAAAACTATGACCAGAGGACAGTAATAGCAACGGTTACGTCGGGGACGCGTTCCTGAAAGATGCGATCACGGATATCGAAAGGATGCAAATCAGAGAAATATATCGGGGAACGGAGTCTGTACGCCACGTGAGCTAA